GGTTTTGATTGCATTTCTTGGAATCGATTAATAGCTTATTACACGTTTGCAGGTCTTTAGGGCGTGAAAAATCAGCCTATAATGTTATTTGCGTTTCTCAAGCAAGCGAGACATTTTGAATTTCAGAGTTATGGCGGTGCGTGACATAGACCTACGAACGCGTTTGTCGAAAAACATATACTTATGTCGTGATTTTTAGCCCAATCAGCAGTTAAAGTACTAGGAAAAGTGCTTATGTAAATGCTTGTTTGTTCTGTACAGATAATCAGTCGCCTAGATAGCCCAAGTAAGCTCCAGATGTTTACACTATTTTCCGGCGGCAATGTTGGCGTACCGCGGAGGTACTGGTCTCTGTAAATTGGTGCAAAATATTTGGACGAATATCTGAGCTTGGGAAAACGCACAGACTTGAAAATTAGCGAAGTGTCATCTTTATTAATCTCCTGTAACATCACAATTTCTTGATTTAATCCACTAAATGGTTGTCGGATAGATTTTTTATTGCGTCAGGATTGCGTGACAGTGCAAGCCAAGAATTGTTTTGCTGGGGTCAACATACATGTACATTAGTTTCTTTCAGCTTAAATGTAAAATAATTCGCTACATGGGTTTCACTCTTGTAAAAGACACATAACTCTGTTACAAGAAAATAACGAGAAAATATCGTTTAGTTCGAGATTTTATCTTTATTATACTTAACGAAGTTTCTCGGAGCGTTTTCCTTAGGTGTACTCGAACAGATGCATTCGTAAACAAATTTTCTAACCTTTCTGCTCTTGTTGCTCAGACGTTCTTGAGTTCGTGCTGGGATTCTACTTGGTTCACGATCATACGATGACGCTNAAACATATACTTATCTCGTGATTTTTAGCCCATTCAGAAGTTAAAGTATTAAGAAAAGTGCTTATGTAAATGCTTGTTTGTTCAGTACAGAAAATGAGCCGCCTAGATAGCCAAAGTAAGTTCCATATGTTTGCACTATTTTCCGGCCGCAATGTTGGCGTACCACGGAGGTACACCGACTTCGCGGCTCCATACTGCGCTCTATAAATTTGTGCAAAATATTTCGACGAATATCTGAACTTGGGAAAAAACACAGGTTTAAAAATTAAAGAAGTGTCATCTTTATTAACCTCGTATAACATCACCATTTCTCGATTTTATCCACTAAATGGTTTTCAGATAATTTTCTATTATGTCAGGATTGCGTGACAGTGCAAGCCACGAATTGTTTTGCCGGGGTCAACAGATATTAGTTTCCTTCAGTTTAAATGTACAATAATTCGCTACATGGGTTTCACTCTTGTAAAGACACATAACTCTGTTACAAGAAAATAACGAGAGAATATCGTTTAGTTCGAGATTTTATCTTTATTATACTTTACGAAGTTTTTCAGAGCGTTTTACTTAGGTGTACTCGAACAGATACATTCGTAAACACATTCTCTAACCTTTCTGCTCTTGTTGCTCAGAAGTTCTTAAGTTCGTGCTGGGATTCTACTTGGTTCACG